AAATAACGGCAGAAAACATGTTATGTCCAACAAATTAAACGTATTTTGTTACAAGTTTGAACTGTAATTTTTACTTCAAAATATAGGAAATGAGTTAATGATATCATTGGAAAGAGTAACATTCTCTTTCATCTGTTCCGTCATATTTACCAAGCACTATCAGGTGATTACAACAACCTTTTCATCTTCTCCGTTTTTCCATAGTTACAAGGGATCATGTCATAAATATGTAATTCAAGGATATTTAAGGCATCAACTACCTCTACATAGAAGATAGGCTTCTTACAATGTTAGAGAGATATACCTTTCGCCACAGACGAATGGAGTGATCACAGCTAGAGGTAACCAAAACTTTTTGCTCCCTTTCTGTTTCACCCCGAAACAAGGACATGTCATTAAGGGAAAACAACCTGCATTTTATTATTAGATTTCAGGTGCAGGCCAATTTTTCCATGTTCAGGCAGCTATGTTTTTAGGTGGGAAAGATTTGAATTAACTGTCATATTGATACCCTGAATACAATAAATCGATTTTCAATCCAAATTTACTGCTCACTTTTGGCATCTCAAGGAAAGGGGCTGCTGATGAACACACAGGCCGTTAGGAATACTAATTTCAGTTTATCATCACTACAATAAATTCTTCTATTTCAAACTTTGTGCTGTCGTGGATATCTTTGAATGTTTCTTTAGCATCAGTGACTTTTTCTCTTCTTTCTTTTCTTTTCCTTTCCTTTTTTTTTTTGGGGGGGGGTTATTGGAATAAAAATGAGAAATCAAATATTTAAATGACCAGATAATACATAAAAAAAATCTTACCTCATACAAGTAATTCTTGCTTTGTGATCACTTAACGTAGATGCAAAATCTTTTCCGCTTTGATATCGATCCATATTTATCATTTGTATCATAGAACCCTGTTTTTAAATTCATGTTAATAACAATGAGCAAGATGCATGTCAAGATAATTGTGGGGAAAATGTATACTCAGTTTCTAGGCCCTAACCATATAGGTCTCAAACCAGGGGTAGGAATGAAGGACGGAAACAAAAAATGAATTTAGATGAAATGATTCAATGAGAAAAAGAAAATGCAAAAATTTCACCACACAATAGGAATACCTGCGTTAAAAAGATATCATTTCCACTCAACTGCAAATGATTGAAAGGTCTAACATCAGTATAGAAGTCAGCGACAAAGGGATCAGCAAACTTAAACTGCTGAACTGCCGTACGCCTCGCCAAATACATTTCCCTCACTCCACATGAATGTAAAGAGCTAGAAGATTGCTGTTGCGGCCAATGCTCCCTACAAACTGAATCAGTTTAGAAAGAAGGAAAATGGGGGAAATAAGATGTGCAGAAAACAAACAGTAGAACGCCTAAACGGCTATAATTTGCACAAGTCTAAGTACGTTATAAACAAGAAAAACACTTGCAACTAAAATTATCAGGAAGATCAACATTTCAGTTGCTTCTTATGTGATTCCATGATAATACACTAAAATAACACAGCTGAGAAGAGATTTGCAAGATGGCGTTTCTGAAGTTATATACACACACAGGAATTCGTGCATATAAATAATTTCGTAACCAAACAAAAGGAAAATAAAGGAAGAAGAGAGAAGTAGGAACCGGAAGAAACGTTGCCAGATGGAATCGGAATAGGCAGCCCTTTTGAGATATCTACAGGTCATGGCCAAATTGCAAACATCTTGGAGGTTAAGATAGGCAGCAGCGTGAACAAGTGAGTCTACATTGAGATCAGTTATTGTTGTCGTCGTCGTCGTAGTATTCCGACTCTGATAAGAGGACGGCGACGGGACAGAATCGGCCATATTAGTGAAGCAGTTGGGACCAATCGCTAAACCCTAGAAGATGTGATCAGTGGACATGAAATAGACGGAGAAGGGGCGAAAGGCGTGATCTCTTCTGAAGCTGAAACGCACCACTGCTCCTGCTTTCCAACCGACTCTCTGTTATTTGGGGAGATGATCGAGAGAGTGTTTGGATAAAAACTAACCGATGTTTCAGAAGTACTTTTACGGATTACGAAATAAATATGTGGAGGAGGTTATTTCATTTTGCGGAAAAAATGCTTCTGAACCACGATTTTAGAGCATCCAAACAGAACCTTAGTCCATATCGAATTGCTTTTTAAAAACTTATTTTCAAATCGAGACATAAAATATTTAAAAATTAACATGGATAATCATTAGTACTATATACCAAAAATAATTTTTGCAAATCATAAAAGTAAAAAAATTATTGAAAAAGATAAAATTGAAATATTTAAAATTAACATGGATAATTTAATTAGGGTGAGACATAATATTTATTTCCTTTCTAAAAAAATCCCAAATTTAAAAGAACTTATAAGGAAAAAAAGGAGTACTAAAAGACAACTTTTTCTCTTTTTTCTTCTATTTTTTTTGAACCACACATAATTTCTTATTCTCTCCTTCTTCCTCCCTTCGAAAATCCTTCAAGTTAAACAGCGTATGGGTCTTTAACTATTTCCCCTCCACCCAAAAACACAGGAAAAATTATATTTGGTTGGCAGTCATAAGGATATATAAGTATATTTTATATAAATTAAAACAAAACTCATATTATATACTTAAAATTATTTATAAGCTATTCCAGAGGGCTCCTAAAATTGTTCAAAAATTATTAGTTCTCATTTGTTCCTAATAAATTGATGAAACAGGGTGAGAAATAAATGGGATTATTTAAATATTTATAGTTAGTTTTTAAGATTTATTTGTTTTGAATAAGGATATTTAAAAGTTTTTAGATTAATTAGAATTTATTATGATTTTCTTATCACTATTTTTCAAGGTCATTATATTTTGTTTATTTTTAAATAAATATGTCTTGGGTTTTATAAATAACTCTAAGACCCTCTTCTTGTTACCTGAATTTGCTGGCCTTTGAACTAAGAAAAAACTAATTTGATAGTGCTCATAATTTTATTCCCTATAATTTTTTTCTTATTTATTGAATCATTATTTTTTATTTTGTTAATTATGCCAGTCCTTCTGTTGATTAAATAAACTGCTAGTTTTGCTCGCTCCAGCACCTCATCCCTCAGCTTCTCTGCCCCTCGTCCTCTCAGTTTCCTTAACTCGAAGCGAACATCATTGTCCATCTCTCATTGTTCATGTTCTCCTTTGTTTGGCCGTCAATTTTCAGTGTCTTCTTCTTCAACATAAGGATCGACAAAAGGGGGGGGGGGAGAGCAGAGGGGAATAAAACGGAAGGAGGGAAGGGGGGAATTCATTGCACCTCGTCCTATGCAGATTTCGTTTACTGGAGAGGAAATAAAAGTGAGAATTGGGGGTGATGTAGGAAATAAAGGGGAATAAAAATATGCTGTTTGAGCATATTTTTTCTCTATTTCTTGGTCTCTTATTCTCCTCTCTCTCGTTGTACCTTGTTAAGAAGAAAAGAACGTCTGATTCATATTATATTTTTCTGTTTGGCCTTCATTTCTATTTCCTTTTTTTTTTCATTTTGTGGAACAAGAAAGCGTTTAGCGTTCTTTCTTTGTGTTGATCGGTTAGACATTAAGAAAGTGCTTGGATATTGCAGAGAATGATTAGGTATGAAAAAAAATGAATAAAAACAAATCCTTTTAAATGAAAGAAAAATCAAATAATTCATTTTATCTAGCCAGCAAAATGTCAGTCTATCCAAATGCTACAGAGTGCAGAAGGAGGCCCTTAATTGGGTGTGCTCAGCCACAACGGCGATGAGGCGATAAGGGGGAAGCTTCCTTTGATACCCCTCTTCACTTGATTAAAAAATTTACCATTAGCACCATTCGGCCATCACAAGATGTTAATGCTCTAATGCAGCAACACTCACAAGACGGCACCGTGCTGGGCATAAATAAATCACAACCAATAGCTCAAGCACCCTGTGTCACAGGGATGCTTAGGCCTACATCCTGCCTTCTAGATTGTATTAGCTTGTTTTGTATGTCATCTCAGTATCAATTAACCCCAGACTGACCGTTGATAAATAACCAGAATTTCAGAACCTTTATTTCCAGTAACTGTTTATTGTAAATCAACATACAAATTTAGTATTCTCAAAACTCTTAACATACTTGACAATATCAAAATACAATAATGTTCCCTTCACTTCAGATAGAAAAGGATCGCTATAGAATTATACTTATTTGGTAAACAGGCTTCTCAACAGCAAGCTGCATCCCATTGGCAAGAGAGATGAAGAACATCAACAATAATTTACAGTCAATTATGCACTAAACATAAAATTTCCAATTTGGCATATTCCGGCTAAAATATGAAGACAACACTGTCATGTACTCTGGACTTTTGATTTTGAGCAACGCATTCTGAAATCCACATTAGGTTCCGAATCTCCTGCTCTCTTAACCTCATATATGCGAAAAAAACAGCATAATGGAACTGCCAAATAGACAAAACAGGGAAGTTCAGAAAAGAGTAGGATATAACCAGAGAGGTGAAATCATTCCTTCAAGACCTATAAAGATCCATTGGCTATTCCTATACTTGCTAATGCCCTAGTGAAGCCTGAAAAACCAGTACTCACATAAAAAGTAAGATACAAACCTGTTGCTCAAACGCTAAGCAAAGCCTCTTCACCTCCTCCTCATAGAATGCCTTATCAAGCATCTGGCTCTCTCCATATGACAATTTAGCAAAGATAGACTGATAAGGGGGATATTTTTCCATCACTGCGCGAACCTACACCAGCAACCAAAACTGGGATCTCAGGCCCAAAGCAGCATAATAATTAAAGCCGTCAAGTAGAAATATAAGTGTCTCCAGCCCACCATTACAGTGATCGGCAATACAAATAATAGATACAGAAAGAAGGTAAGAGTTAACCATAAAAGAAGCCTGTGAAATCAACGGCAAAAATCAAGTGCAAATTACAAATGGAAAAGAAAAAATCACATCGTAGAACAATCCACTTAAATCCACCAATGAAACTACTCAAACCATCACACAGTTGAGAAGCAAAATATACCTGGTCAATGTCTTCACAGACAGCAAGCTCCTCGTGACCATAAGGGTACCTGATTAAGTCAGCCATTGCCAAAAAATCATTCCAAAGCAACACATATGCTTCCATTTTCAATAACAAAATTAGATCAGAACTTACAACAAACCAAAATTAGAGTACAATTTCCTACGATCATCTCTGGTGAGTTCAGTACCGATGCTGCCATCAGTGAAAAGTGGAAAACATCAAGATCAGTTATAAAAATATCTAAAGTGACAAATATGCAAAAACCTAACTTCAATTACCTATTTATGGTAATATTCACAGCCCTTCTATCAGCCTCAAAAGCTAGAAGGTCAGACATGATTTCAGCTGTGGCACCACCGAGTTTCTATCCAAGTACAACATTGAAATTTATAAAACCACCAAAAAATTGGAAAAGAGGGAACACATGCATAGAAGATGGGATAAAACTCTTGGGCACTCACCTGACAAAATTTGTAAAAGTCTTCAAGATATGCCTTATAAAGAGTGTTCCTCATTATTTCAATGTTCATATCATCCAGGTCCTAGAAAGAAAGAGTGCACAAGTAACATATGAGATGTGAAGAAGGAGATTTAGAAGTACATTGTTCCCAGTTTTTCCATAGGCCCATAGCACCGAATATCTTAAGCTGAACACGCTGATTGTGGACCTAAATTCTCTGGAGAAATTTAAGAGCAATAAGAATTTAGGTAGGAAGATTAACCTCTGATGTAATGCAGTCGGAGAAGTACGGAGCAAGGGGAGTGTCCACAAGTACCAGCCTGTAAAGCTCCCGCATATTCTGAGCAACTGCTAGACTAGCAATGCTGGAGAGAACCAAAGCATAATTAAAATTATGAGTACTTACACAGTTATCCTACCAAACTAAATATTGAAATTAATATACCTGTCAAACATGCCCAGTGGATGACATTTCTCTAATAATTCTTGAACATCTCGTTCATGCAACGTGCCAGTAACAATCAAAACAACGTTGTCTATCATGTGACCATAACTGCAGGAATAAAAAAGAGAGCGTATTGGTGTCCGTTTTCCCCTTTTTTCCTGCTTTGTCCAGGTTAAAGATTTCTTAAATGGAAAGGACATGCAGCATAAAATCTATCAACCCAACCCCAGTCTGATTAGAATCAAATTTTCCGCAAAAGATCTGAGTAAGTTTCCAAAAATCGTGGCCAGGGTTCCTGAGGAATTAAGGTTTCCATGATTTCGTATCATCACACAAATCATCTTAGATTCAGAAGAATTACAATGGAGAAAAAAAAAAAAAGTGAATATAAGAGGTCGGGAAGGAAATTGAAGTTGACGTACGTGATATACTCCAAAAAGGTGGACAAGGGTTCTGTGGCTTGGCATAACATGTGCTTATAGTCATCCACCAGTTTAAGTGTACATTTCTCCACAATTGTTGTTGTGTGCAATGGAGAAGGCTCTGTAAAAGGTAAATCATCAACATAAACAAAGGTTTTAAGCTCTTGAATACTTTAATAGAATAGAAAACGCTAAGCAGAAAAATAGATAAGGTCGCAATTGATGAGAGTGTCAAAACTAGGATCAGACAGTTTAATTTCTATTCAATCACTTTATCAAATGAGCGACGTCTTATCTGCCATCCCGTACAAACGAGTACATGTTTTTCTCATCAAGATGCACCAAGCAAGAGAAACAATGTAAACAAAAGCACCCGCTAAGCTAAGGACACAAGTCTTCCCTCAACAGCACAAAAAGGAACGGAGTCCATGGAAATTATAGCTCAAAATCTCAGATACATAAAATTATAAGTTCTCAGCGAAGTTGCGCAAAAAGCATCCATCAGCATGAATGATCTCGTGATGTCATTATTGAGGTTGCAGAAAGAACATTTACTCCATGCAGATCTCTAGAAC